GTTTGTTCGTCAGCTCAAAAGATTACAAATGTCTATTCGGATAGACTGGGAGCTCATCTCAGGTAATTAGACGGATAAATCCGAAATGGCCAGGTGCCACGCACTTCTCTTGTGTGTGTCATAAGCGTATCTTCTTCTTTCATCTTTTCCAAAACTACGAGTAACTCCTTTTTCAGCTGACGTAGTATATCAGTGGGAAATCAGTGTCAAGGAAGCAATATAAACGGTCGTAGGTGGATAAGGTACATGTTAATTTTCCTGAGTACATGTAGGGCTAATGGCTAATGAAGGCCACATGGTGATGTAGCAACTCAACCGACTACTACGACAACTACCGTGGTCTCCATACTTTGGAAAACGTTTACGTTTAGAAAGTATTTTAGAGATACAGTGAAACCTGGTTAAGTGAGACATCAAGGGACCTGCAATGTCGTTTCACTTAAAGAGGTATTCCACTTACCCAGTGTCTCAGATATACAGGTATAAATAAATATCTGTCTCATTTACAGAGGGTTCGATTAATAGAGGTGGACTTGGAATTACGTGTGGAATTTGTGGGTAGAATAAGAATGAGTAAACAAACAATGTTATCTCAGTTACAGAGGTTTATGCATATAAAATTTACTCGCTGTCTCAGTTATAGAGGTAACTACGATGATAAATCGAAAGAACAAATCCCAGATATAGAGGTTTACCTCGTCCCACTAACAGAGGTAATTCAGTGCCAAAGTGTTGGGACCTCAGCATGAGTTCCAGTTATGGAGGTTTCTCACTTATCCAGGTCCCACTTAACCAAGTTTCACAGTAATACGACGCGTTACTTAGAGAAATAGTAGTGATGTTTTGTTACAGGTACAAATACCTCATTGCGTAATAGGTACCTGTGACTGCATTGCAAGACGTGCCCGATTAACAAGTTTATATTGCAGATAAATCATATATTTAGTCGACGAGTTTCCATCTGTACTGGAAACCAACTAGAGTACAAATAAAAATGTACATAAAATCGAGATCAGACATTTTCTTAACCAATTTCTCATTACACCATGTAATTGAAATTATGTTCTTGTTTTATCACCTTAGAGTTTTAATTACATTAGCACTAATTGTATTGGAGTAACGAACATTGAGTAACGGTACTACACGTGTTCATCGGGTATTGAGTGGCTTATATTGGCAAACAGCGTAGAGGCTAGCACAGGTAAATTGATTAGCCGTACATTCTCATATCTGTCGCCTACACACTACACACAGATGTGAGTAGAACATAACATTTATATAAACAACTAGCTACTTCCGCGCGGTTTCACACGCTCTGCTTAGCTCCTATTGGTCGTAGCGTGATGTTTTATAGCCTATAGCCATTCTCGATAAATGTGCTATCCAACACAAAAATAATTATTGAAATCAGACTTGTAGTTACGGAGATTAGCGCTTTCTAACAAACAAACAAACAAAAAAACAAATTCTTCCGCTTTATATAATAGTATAAGATAAGATAAGATTAGCTTTTGCTAGCGTATTCGCCCGGGGTCCCGAGGGATAAAAGTAACCTATGTGTTATTCCAGACAATAGTCTATCCCTGCTCGCAATTTCTTCAGCCGTTTTGACGTAAAAGAGTTACGAACAAACATACAAACTTTCGCATTAATTATTATGTTTTCGGCTTACTCAACAACAACTTGCAACTTTTTTTATCGGATAAGCCGGTAATCGAGCAGACGGATCACCTGATGGTAAGCAATCTTCGTCGCCCATTGACACCCGAAACACCAGGGGCGTTACGAATACGTTACCGGCCTTTTGGGAATTTGCGGATTGAGAGGGATTCGGGAATCGGGTAGACTGGGGAGAGGAGGTAATTGGGCCTCCAGTAATCTTAATCACACGACGAAACACAACGCAAGCGTTGTTTCACGTCGGTTCTCTGTGAGGCCGTGATATCATTCCGGTCGAGCCGGCCGGCAGGCGCGGTTACGCGGCGTGGACGTCTTCGACTTAAATACTATTTTCTACTAATTTGAAACTGTTATACTAAATTAAAAAATACGAATAAATAGGAATCAATATTTGTGAAGATTAAATAGTAATTCTTATCATGAACATTACAAAAAACCGTTTAACTTTATAATAATGTTGAAATTTGAGTATTTTTTGTATTACAAGGTTTTACGAAATAGTTCGTAATATACCTTCTACATACGTTGCTTAGGTGCTTCTTAAAATGAAACAACCTTTTTTGATGCCAATACACCATTACTTAGAACTAAGTGCCCCTTCACATTAGCATGTTTGTTAGCAGCGACAGTAGCACGGCAGAAGCGCATCCCTTCACATAATGAAAACAGCCGCGCGTTAGCAGCTGCAGCGCCTCTGCCGCGCCGCAGTTAAGTTCAATGTGGCGCACTTCATTTCTGAAATGCATAAATAATAAATAATATCATACATATAGCGTAATAAGGTAGTGTAGTAGTAGGATTATGAGCAAGATGGTTAGTAAGTAGCCGCGAAAACGTCTGTATATTTCATTTTCAAAATAATAAATGGTTTCATTATGTGGCTCTAATCGATTTATTCTTTTATGTAGATGTTATCGGTTAGATAATTCAAACGATATTTTTTACACAATTTTATCAGCATCAACTTTAATTCAAATACCAAACATCATCCACGACCCCAGGAGATGGCGAAACGACTTATTTGCAACAATGGCTCATTGCCGACTGACACACGTGGCGGCAGCGTGCGCCTCCCGCGCTTCTGAGGCCTTAGCACGATTATGATTTACGTTTGAAGTATTCGAAATGAGTATGCGTTCGGCACTCTGATTGGCCGGCACCAATGAAGCAACCAATCACAGCGCCGAACGCGTACTCGTTACGATTACTTTAAACGTAAAACAAACTCGTACTAAGGCCTCTGTTTAAGCTATGAAGTTCTGGCAGAGCGACAGTCGCGTGGTTAACGCGCCACGCACTGTCGCGCTGCTAAAGTCGCCTAAATGTGGGTATTTTTTGTTATACCTGTTTCGTTTAATATTACATAGGTATTCATTATTACCGATTTTTCCAATTGCGCGAAGTATTTATTTTACTACGATAAATAACGTATCAAAAACACTTAAAAAAACCGTTAAAGTTTTTTGTCGTCGATTTTCCCTGATTTAAAATATCATATCAGACTGCGGATGCTTAGAATTTGGAGATATTCTTAAAGAATGGATCCTAAGAAGTATTTCAGTATATAATACCTAACACATTTGAATAATAAATACTTTGTTGCTTGCACTTGAAATTCTATTCTCACAAAAACATCAAGCACTTGAAAAACGTTACGTAAACAATTTTTTGTTAAAATGTTGTTGGCACTTGACGACTTTTTATCGACCAGCAGACGTGTTATTGAATAAAGAACCATCTAGCGAGACATTTGTGAACCACTTGAACACGAACAATATGTTTTTTCGTGTTCAAGTGGTTCAACATGTTTTAGGTTGGTGGAACTTCCGTCTGGATCATTCTAGTTGCCCGGGCGTTAGACGCTCTATAGTTTTGGGCCGCTTTAGTTGCCCGAACGTTTGAGTTGACTTCGTCTGTATAGATAGATGTACCGTCTCGTTTCGATTACTTTAGAATTTTTTTGGTTGTTATTTGAATTTTGTGAAATAATCATTGTGTCTTAAAATATGTAATACCTACTAGCTGTTCCCGAGACTTCGTCCACGTATAATAATGACTTCTAGCAAATTTTGGATTTTTTAATTAGTCTTTTCCCAAGGTAAATATTGTGTAACAAATCTCATTAGAATCAATTTAGTTATATTTATTGTGAAATGTTGTTTATTTTCGTAATTTCAAAAATTATACAATCTCACAGGGATTTTACCCTTATAGTATCCATTCCCGTGGTTTTCAGTGATTAAAACTCCAGTTGAATTCCAATCAAATAGGTACAGCGGTTGAAAACTATCTGGCGCCATTTTTCTAGTCTCAAACTATCGTTGTACGGAATTGCACTCAAATAGGTCCAGTGGTTTTAGCAATAGAGAGTTCCGGAATTTTAACGCATAGTTCCTGTTCCGTGAGATTTCCTTTCCAGTGCAAGTGTGAGTGACTACAAACTCAAATTTCAATTAAATAGGTTCAGTCATTAATAAAATTAGTATTCAGCCTCTTTGCAAACCTTAATGTTATATCATGATTATAAAAAAATAAATTGTCATTATTCCATTGGCATTACTGTTATCATATCAGTGATTGGCATGAAATTCCCTTGTCAAAAATATGTCCGATAACATTGAAAGGTATACTTAATATTATAAATTTGTTTACGTCTGTTTGTTTTGTTAGAAATTGACGTGATTTTTTTATTGAGTGGAGATAGTAGAAAGGATTGAAAGTAGCATAGGTGACATTTTGTTTCTTTCTAACACACCACTTCCCTAAAACAGGGGCTGGAAGTTTGTATAGAGCATTTTATAGTTCACAAGAAACCTAAATATTGTAAAATATCATATTTGTGACCAGGAAAACATCGGGCACCAATTATTTTTTTTATAAACCTGCCCTCAATACTTTAAAAGAGCGCAACCGAAACCGTGGGCAGAAGCTACTCTAAATACTATTATTAGTTCTTAAAAACAGTTTTGTATAGGCAGTCAAAGGCTTAAGCAATATAAGGAGTTTTTGGTAGTATTTTCACACATCGAATTACATTATTTAAATTTTAACACGGTTCCCTTTTTCTCTCTTATTAAATATTTAATAAATAACACCCATTTTTCACTATTTATGTTACGAGTCCCATGCAATAGGGGGTGAGCCTATTGCCATACACCGAGAACAATTCTAGACTCCATGCAGACTGAGAAATTTATAAAAATCCTGTAATACTTTGCCCAACCCGGGAATCGAACCCGAGACCCTTGCCCGGCAGTTTCACTTGCGACCACGTGGCCAACGAGACAGTTAAACTAATAAAAATATTTGTTTGCCCACAGGAGTTCCAGAAGCTTTGGTTCTATTGAGTCTGGTGTCAGTGGTGACTCCAGGGTTCCAGTTTCGAAGTAGAAATGCTTCAGATGCCTCAATGAGCAAGCCTTGTGCTCTTGGGGAGTATACGAGCAGAGCTCAGTGTACACAGTCCCAGTATAGGCTGGTATGCAAGGATGGCCTCGCCAGTTACTGGATGCGAGGGATCAAGTGAGTATAGTTCACTTGTTTGTTAGTTTGAAGATATTTTTGTTTGTTTTTTATGGGATATCCGGATAGGGCGGCAAATGATGAATCAAATGATGGGAAGCAATCATCTCGCCCATGGTGCAACACTAAAGAAGTTGCAAAAATACGTTGCCAGCCCTTTGGGCGTTAGCACGTTGGTGATTAGTTGAAATAGTGGATTGATAAGCCTTTGTATTTAAGTATGTCCCAAGTATAATAAATACATTTTATTTTTACGTTTAAGTGACTTTCCTAAACAAAATTGTATAATTTTTTACCGTAAGTTCCTGACATTTAAAATATTCTTTGATTCTAGGGCCTTGCTAGGTTTAAGGTTCAGAATTTTCAATTAAATATAATTTACGAAAGGTTAAAATTTATAGGTTCAAAATATTGATATCTTATTCTAATTGTATCCAGCATTATGAAATCAATACGTTAATAATTATATTTAGATAATGTCTTACTTCAAGAGTACGATACATTGATTGAATGTCTAAAATTAATAGTAGGTAGGTAAACGTAATTTGTTAGTTAGTAATTTTAATTCGTTGAGTACCGTCATTGTAGACACAATTATAGAACAATAGGTTGCGGTCACCGGTGACCGCTTGGTGTGTAACAGCAACTATCATAGTTATTTTAGTCATTTTAGCATTACAGCTTATACTACCATGACCTGTCTCTGTACCACCCTTAGGTGGACTAACAGAGAATGCCCTAGGCATTAAGTCCACCCTGTGATATGTGCAGAAGTATAAATGAAGCATAAGAGGTAGGTAGCAATCGTAGTAATTGGCATTCCATAGTCTCTGCCTACCCCCATGGGAGACAGGCGTGAAGTTATGTAGGTATGTATGTATTGAATAAATAAATAGAGCATGAATCTCGGTTACCCGTTAGGTTCTCCGTTTGTCGCGGGTAACCTAACGGGCAACCGGGGCTCCGACTCGACGTGCAGGAGAAGGAACGGGGTGGTTTTTAGTCAGTAAGAGTCTGACACTCCCTCCCGCCTCACCCAGGCAGGCGGGAGCAGTCATTCGATGATTTTCCCCCCTTAAAAAAAATACAGATAAATAAAATTGGAGAGACTGTTATTTCAAACCGTTTTTTACTGCATATATGTGTTAAAATGCGATACAAATACCAAACAATATTTTTTTCAATTTTCGTCTGTCTATTTGTACTGGCGATTTTGACGGGGTTTTTATTTGTAGGTGGCTATTAAGGAGTAACAAAGGCTAATTTATTTTTAGAAAAATGCGGACGCATGCGGTTGCCTACATACTAGCTATGTAATAAAACCTAAAATAGCTGTAGCTCGGTTGCAATGTATTATGATTTAATACTTTCCCGCAGTTTCACCCTCTATTAATAAACGACCTCAACATAATGTTAGGGAATTTTGTATTAAAAATATATTTTTGAAATTAGGCTGTTACTTAAATACTTTCATGTCGAAACAAACAAAGTTTAATATTTTTAGATTTAGCTAATGTTACGTAAACGGTACCGCGTCCTAATCTTTAAAAAGCTGTTCTATTGCGAGTTGCCGAGAATCGAGAATAACATAATGACCTGTGGGAGAGCCATGCTTCGGCACGATTGGTCCGGCTCGACCGGAGTGATACCACGGCCTCACAGAAGACCGACGTGAAATAACGCTTGCGTTGGGTTTAGTGTTCGTTTTTATTTTTGATTTTTTTTTAGGTTTTTTGTTCTTTAGTGAGTTTACCGGAGGTACAATTACATGATTTTTGTTTTTAATGGTCTTACGCCCGAATACTGAAAGCCTATTCAATTTTAACTCGCGCTTAAGTATTTTTTTTTTTAAGGCGGGAAAATCATCGAATTACTTCTGGGTCTTCTTCTTCGGCCTGGGTGAGGCCGGAGGGAGTGTCAGAATCTTACTGACTAAAAACCACCCCGTTCGTACTCCTGCCGTTCGAGCCGGAGCCCCGGTAACCCTTTAAGTACTCTGTAGCTTCATATCGGCTTCAGTTCTATTGGGCTCCATTCGTGGTGGTCTGATGGCTCTTTGAGGCGCGCGCGGTACGCGAGGGTCTGGTTTAAATATAGTACTGTCTCTACAAATTCTTTTGAAATAACAGAGATGGCACGATATTTAAGTACAAATTGAAATTTAGTAGTTTCAGTATTTGGGCGATACTCAATTTCATAGGCTTGGTTTTTGTATAAATTATAATATAATTTAATTGTTATTAAATTGTCTTTAAAACACTTGTTAAATTTGATGTAAGTACTTGTGTTAAAATGTTCTTTTATATTATTTTGTATTTTCTAAGATAATTATAACGGGTAAAAGGGTACAACATTAATTAACCGGTGCGGTTTAAGGGGAAGCCATGTTGTTTAGTCTGTATGTCTTTATTGTATTGTGCCCCCGCTTGTATGTTTCACAATTTCACCGTGTTTTGTTTCTTAACTCGTCGAGTAACGTCATTATACCTCTAGACACAATTATAGAACAATAGGTTGCGGTCACCGGTGACCGCTTGGTGTTTGACAGTTTAACCAAGAGTTGCCAATTGAGAGAAATACGTACCTATATTTATTTAGACTGCCTCGTTGGCCGAGTGGTCGCAATGCGACTGCCGGGCAAAGGGTTTCGGGTTCGATTCCCGGGTCGGGCAAAGTATTACTAGCTGTTTAAAAAAAATCTAATTAGTAGCATGGTAGTCTGGAATTGTGCCCGGGTATATGGCAATATGCTCACCCCCTATTAGGTACATGGGGCTCATAACATAAAATAGTGAAAAGTGGGTGTTACACTGTACAGTGGCATTAAGTGCCGAAATATACACCTCTGGGGGTAGGCCCCTTCGGGGATAAAAGGTGTGAAGTTATGTTATGTTATTTAGTCCTATATTTCTGATGCACGTTATTTATGCGTGGGTGACTTTATTACAAAGTTAATTGTTACCTCTTACGCTTATTATAATTAATTAGTTTTTAAAAATTTTGAGAGTATAGAGAAGTGATAGAGAATGCCGGATGATAGTTTTTTCAATATTGTTGTCACAAATTTGTCATAAATTGACTATCTATGATTATAGCAAGAAATGGACAAACAAGACCTTATATTATATTAACACTACCTACCTATCGATTGCAAAAAAGATAACCCTCATTACGCCATTATTTTCGAGTACTTACCTGTTGCGCCACAATACTTTAACACGTGAATAGGCTTGGCTCTGTGACGTCGTGGTGACGTCATAGCTGTCCAGTGAGGTGACGTCACTCGCCCTTTTATTTATAATACGTCTATAAATTCGTAACGTCATCAAGTATGTAGGGGCGATAAAAGTGCCCGTGTGTTTTATTCGCAGTTAATTAAAGACAGCAAAGATTGCGGCCATTGTAATTTGATTAGATTGTTAATTATTTTTGTTTTCTTACGTTTCATCTTTTCTACAATTTCTTTAATTTAACATTGCAACAATCATTGCCATCGACCCTCATGACAGAATATACATCACCACCATATAATGGTTGGCAGGCCACAACTGTGCGCTTCTTACGATGCTTTCTGCCTCGCTCAGCAAAACTGTGGAATGATCTGTCGTCGGCGGTATTACCGAACCGATACGACCTTTAAACCTTCAAGAAAAGAGCGTATTCCTTTTTAAAAGGCCGGCAACGCACCTGTGGCTCCTCTGGTGTTGCGGGTGTCCATGGGCGGCGCTGATCGCTTACCGTCAGGTGATCCGTCTACTAGTTTGCCTCCTATACCATAAAAAAAAAATTGTGGTAGGTATTTATTTAGCTTTAGAAAAGTAGGCGACTTCTAAATGAATAATGTTGGCTTCAAAACCACATAAAATAAATTTTAATGTGAAAAATTAATTTAAAATTAAATAATGAATGTTTAAGGAACAGAGAGTATAGTTCCCTAAAATTGGAAAAGGAGGATCCTCCGACCAGGCAAGGTGATCGTGCCTGGCGGGCTTTCTGCCCAACAGTTGTTCGTTGGGATTTTCTATTCGTGTTCATTTGCATGTAAACTTTGCATGTGCGATGTAGGATTTTTGTGACGTCATCCGTTGACATGTGTCGCCACAAATGGATAAAAATTGTGCTTTTATTAAAAAAAAACATATAAGTATGTATTTATACTTTGTCGTAAGTTTTATACGGAGCTATTTAATAAATAGCTACCTATATATTTTCATAATCTATTAGTTTGTAATGATGGTAATAGGACGTATTACCGTTTTTTCAACTTTCAACGATTAAATATGTTTAATTCTTGTAGGTCGTACTACTTCCTATTCGGTAAGAACTTTTTGTGTAAACTTCAAATACATATTTAAAATTAAATTGGAATTAACAAAATAGTCGGCGTGAATTGGAAGCAATTGTACGTCGTAATTATAAAGGCAAAATAACACCTCTGTAAAAAATTTAAAGCAATATTTGGTTTGTATAAACCAAGACTCAAATCGGAATCCTCTTATTCGGTACTCGAAACCTATCTGATCAAAAACGATTCATAATATAATATTATTTTAGAGTTTAGTATCCCGTAACAATAACAAATCAAAATATTATCTTACTTAGCGATAACCCACGGACTTTTAAATCGACAGAAATAAATAGACATTATTTGATAGTGTATGTACCTATGTTACTAGGCTAAATGGGCTATCTACTTTCATTTGTACCTAAATGAGATTTGAATAATATGCCCCATTTCCAATGCCTGAATTTCAAATCAGTACTTATAGGAATAGTCCTGCTGAAGAAAAAAGTTCATGAGACTAAAAAAGTTGCAAATAAAAAAGTTGCATTGTTGACAGGGTATGACTAGGAAGCATAACATAACATCACGCCTTTTAACCCCGAAGGGGTAGGCAGAAGTGCACATTGCGGCACTTAAAGCAGGTACAATGTAACACCCACTTTTGACTATTTATGTTTGAGTACCATTTAATAGGGGGTGAGCCTATTGCCATATACCGGGTACATTTCCGTGCTACTATTGAGAATAAAAAAAAAACTATAGAGAGAATAGAAAACATTTTTTTTTACATAATTCGCAAGCGTTATTTCACATACCGTGCCTTGGTATTGTAATGAATGACTCAATTTAAGCTTCTGTACACTTTTACTTAGTCAAACTAGCGTTATAACTTCAAGTAATTATAATATAGACTAACTTTAAATACTGACTTCTTATTCTGACTGACAATACTGACTGTACTGACTGTTTTTACTGCCTGGGTTGGAAAAGGGCTGTGGTAACTATTTATACACAGAATCATTACTGGAAGGGGTAGATAAGTACCACGACCCTTGTTCCTTCATTAGTAATCTGATCAACAATATTAACTAATTTGTGGTCTTTTAGTGCTATTACAAACATCATAAATTATGAGAACAATAAACATTGAATTACTTAATGATACATAATCGAATGACATACAAACAGACAGTAATGGTTTCCTTGGGAAAGGTAGACAAATCATGATGTCCAGTACGGTATCACTCCAGTCGAACCGACCCATCAGTGCCGACTGCCGAAGCATGCTTCTCCTGCACTTAACACGTATTTTCCCACACCGATTTTCAGTACAGAAAATATGTAATAAGAAATATTGATATTTGGTTAAAGTCGAAGTCAAAGCATTTATTTCAATTAACTTGTTGAGTACCGTCATTATAGACACAATTAAAGAACAATAGGTTGCGGTCACCGGTGACCGCTCGGTGTTTGACAGTTTAAACCATAATTTGGCACTTTTGAAACGTCAACAAATACAAAATAAATAATAATCTGTCAGTCAGTACATAATTCGCGCTTTATATATGTTTTAAATTTACTTTCATTGAGATCTAGTATGCTATTTGGTATTTTATTATAGCATTTAATACCTAACCCCATAAAGGATTTCTGTGCCTTGGACGGCCTGAATTGTGGTATAGCTAACTTATTTTTGCCTCTAGTATTACAATTGTGCCTATCGCTTCTTTTTTCAAACAATTGCCTATTTTTTTTACATTAGTTGTCAGTATCTATATTTCTTGAAGATAGGTACTCCCACATCGAAGACAGTACAAAATGAAACATATTTGTTCTTGTTGTTTCTTTCCACGACCTATGACTAGAAACGTCTATCTACATTAGGTTCCGCCTTATTGGCTACATTGTCTAGCCTTTGGCCAGCACCTAAATCTCACGGTTGCTATTTTTAGAAAAAGTACATAAATGAAGTAATGTTTTGATTTTTCTTTGCTACAATGGTACCTATTTTTTTTTTGATGCGTCATACGGGAATGGTTTAAAAAACAAAATAGTATCTATTTCCACTAAGACCATTTAGTTATCGAATAAAACGTTTCATATACGTTAACCGCGGCATGGGTTACCGGTGACCGGGGTTTAGCAGAGGTTTTATTTTGAACAGATTTCTATCGGCAGTCAAAGGCTCTGCAGTTTCTGCCTTCTCCATGGCATCGAGATAAAAAACTACTTGTGTGTTCATTCCGTTATTTTTTTTTACAGTGCGATCAAGTCAGCACAGCTACTCGAATAAATAGTCCTAATATTTAAATTTTTCTTTGTTCTAGACGAGAAATAACTCACCTCCGTCTGATGAACTGGCCCGGAGAGTGCTTCAATGTCGCCCGACTTCAGTACCACTACCCAGAGCTTGTATTCTTAGAATTCATCAACTCCACCTCTCTGAAGAGCTTCAAGGGCCATTTCAGTGCTGTGAACAAAATTGAGGTTTGTATCGATTTTACTTTGGTTGCTATTTGCTTAACAAACTATTTCGTTTGATTTAATTCGATTAGACAATCGAATTGTTTTCATAATCAAAGTTAAAGTAATTTGTATAGTAATTCTCTTGAAGATGAAACATAAATAAATGTTATTTGATATTACCAACATAAATATATATATTAGGTTCTTCTGTGTGTGTTAATTAGTGTTTAAGCCGTAAATACGAGATAACGTAATTAAGATTATTATAAATATTGCTCTACAAAGAGTAGGTAACTTAATCTAGATTTGAGATTATTCCTAATTGACATTAAATAATTGAAATGAAAAAGTCGCGTGTAAATTCTTAAGTAGCCTGTGTTGATATACAACTTATATCTTCTTATTAAAAATCAATACATCGAGTATTAGGTATATTATCTGTAGTCTGTGGCAATCCTATCCTACTAATATTATGGCGCGTCGCGTTCCCCACGCGCCTCAAAGAGCCATCAGCAGACCGCCACGGATGGGGCCCAATAGGGCTGATGCCGATACGGAACTGCGGAGAACTTAACGGGTTACCGGGGCTCCTGCTCGAAGTGCAGGAGTAGGAACGGGGTGGTTTTTAGTCACTAAGAGTCTGACACTGAATTGAACTCCCGCCTCACCCAGGCGAGAAACGTCATTCGATGATTTTCCCCACTTAAAACAAAATTCTACTAATATTATAAATGTGAAAGTTTGTGAGGATGTATGTGTGTGTTTGGTACAATTTCATTCCAATCCCTAGGGATTGGAATGAAATTTGAACCATTTTTTTATGGGATAAGCCGGTAAACGAACTGACGGATCACCTGATGGTAAGTAATCGGCGTCGCCCATGAACACACGCAGCACCATTACAAGTGCGTTACCGGCCTTCTGGATTAGGAAATTGAGGATTGTTGGGGATTCAGGGATTGGGGAACGGGGGGAGGGGTAATTGGGCCTCCGGTAACCTAACTCACACGACGAAACACAACACAACATTGTTTCATGTCGGTCTTTTGTGAGGTCGTGGTATCACTCCGGTCGAGCCGGCCCATTCATGTCGAAGCATGGCTCTCCCACACTTAGGTAGATTACATGGGTAGATTAGTATGATATGGAATGAAACGTAGGCTACTTTTTATTCCATTGAAACGCGGTCGAAGCCGCTGGCAGACACTAGTAGGAATATAATAAATTAAATTTTATTTATTATATTATATTATTTAAGTACAAAAGATATGCTACTTGAAATCGATGTTTTGTACTGTCTAGACATATAAATATTCACGGAGGCATTACTAAAAAAGATATAAAATAAGTTATGAGAAGGTTTTCGATACTCTATTATTTTTTTTTATATTATTTATTTTATTTTGATATAGTTAATTATTATGGAGGCAGTTAAGACGCTCGCTTCTCATGCATGAGGGTGCGGGTTCGAAACCTACCAGCGGCAAGTACAATTGACACATTTTCTGAGTTATATGTACTTTCTAAGATTATTTAGACATCACTGACTAACCGGTGAAGGAAAACATGGTGAGGAAACCTGGGCTTATAATTTCTAATTATAAGTTTGAAATCGCCAACCCGCAATGAGCAAGCGTGGTGATTAATGCTCAAACCTTTCCCGTGTGAGAAGAGGCCTTAAGTCAGCAGTGGCCACTTGTAGGCTGTTGATGTATTTATTATTTTTGAGTAGGGTAGATAGTGTTAATCTATTATATTATATTTGTTTAATTTACTCTATAGTTATAAAATCTAAGTATTAAAAATAATTTAAAGAAATCAACAATTAAAATGGTCTAGCAAAGTCAAAATTTATTTCTATAAAACAAGTGAAACTCATAATTCTTTTTTTTAAACTCGCATCTAAATCGGTTGAGCGGATCGCGAGATAATCGCGCGCAAACATACTTACATACATACAGGTCAAAGTGAGAACCTCCTTTCTTTTTGAAGTCGGTTAATTAATATACTAAAATATTTTTCTAAGCATAACAAACACTTTTCTGAAACCCACAAACCAGTGAAATAAAAAATGCAAATTGGATACTTGCCTTCATCTATACATATAATAAAATTGTAGAAAAGTGCGGTCTGTACATTGAAAATAAAAATAAAAAAAATAGCAGGGGCTATTGTTATGTCGATGTCGAACCCAAAAATGTAACTAACTTTTTTTTTGTCTGTTTGTCTGTTTGTCTGTTCACGCTAATCTCAGAAACGGCTTATCCGAGTTGGATGCGGTTTTCACGAATATATTGTGGTATGCTTCAGTTATGCTTTAGTGTTTGTTTCATGTCAATCGGTTCATAAATAAAAAAGTTACGTCAAATTAAAGAATCACGTCGAACTCTATCTATCTATCTATCTATACATATAATAAAATTGTAGAAAAGTGCTGTCTGTACATTGAAAATAAAAATAAAAAAAATAGCAGGGGCTATTGTTATGTCGATGTCGAACCCAAAAATGTAACTAACTTTTTTTTTGTCTGTTTGTCTGTTTGTCTGTTCACGCTAATCTCAGAAATGGCTTATAAATATATATATATTTAACAGGGTGCGGAAAAGGTGATAGTGGTTTTATTCCTCAGATTCCTCTCATTCCAAAAAATTTTCCGTTTAATTTTAAACGAATTCAGTTTCCAGTGAGCCTATGTTTCGCCATGACAATTAATAAAGCTCAAGGTCAGACTCTAAAAGTTGTGGGTATAGATCTAAGTATCAGCTGTTTTTCGCACGGTCAATTGTATGTGGCTCTGTCCCGTGTTAGCAATCCCAGCAGCCTGTATGCTTTCACCCCCGATGGCCATACGTCTAATATTGTATATAGAGAAGCATTACAGTAAAGTAGGTTTTTTAGCTACCCAAAATGACTGTGATTATGATCCAAATCTAAAATAAAAATAAGTATATATTTAAAAAAAAAAACGCTGCTCATAGTCACTATTCTACGCGAACAAAGTCGCGGGCACAGCTAGTCAAAAATAAATTATTTCGACTGTTATAATTACACATTCAGTAATTGATTTTATAAATGACCAACTTATTTTTAGTATTTTTCCAGCACATTTTTAACAAATAAGTATGCTGTTTGACGCTAAAAAAACATAACATAACATAACATCACGCCTTTTATCCCCGAAGGGGTAGGCAGAGGTGCACATTATGCCACTGTACAATGTAACACCCACTTTTCACTATTTATGTTATGAGTCCCATGTAATAGGGGGTGAGCCTATTGCCATATACCGGGCAAATTTCCAGATTCTGTGCTACTACTGAGATGTTTTTTTTTAAATACCCCTGTAATACTTTGCCCGACCCGGGAATCGAACCCGAGACCCCTTGCCCGGCAGTTGCACTTGCGACCACTCGGCCAACGAGGCAGTCGCTAAAAAAACGTGACGTCACAATACACAATCTCTTACGAAATTCATTGAAAACTGTCGTTTTTGACAGTTCACAAAAAGTATAGAAGTCGACTAGTTGGCAAGTACACAATTCAAAGTGAAATAAGAAATATTTGAAAGTACAAAGTATTAACAGATTTCTGAACTTCGGATAATCAACATCCATTTCTAAAGACCAAGTCAAGTAACCAATTTTCTCAAACTTTGACCCAACTTTTTGCATCTTAGCAGGACTGAGGAAGTTTGCTTTCAAACTCGTTAGTATCGGTTATAAC